TGTCATGATGGACCTTCTCCTGCGCCTCTGCAAGCTGCTCCTTTAGGGAGTGGAGCTCCTCCTGCAGCGTCTTCACCAAGGCATCCTTGTCCACGGCGCTGGCGGGCTTCGCCTTGATCTTGATGTTCTTCACCGTGGAGGCGAAAGTCAAAGTGCTGTAGCTCTCCTCGAAGTTGGCAAGGGCGGGGCTCAGTGTGCCGATCATGGAGGTCTTGGAATTTCCGCTCAGAGCGTTAGAGAGGAGCAGGGTGAGCTTGGAGTTCCGGAACCTTGACATCATGGCGGTGCCGGATGCTGCCGCAGCACTCATGGACTTCCTGGTGTCCGGCTTCGCGAGAGCCTGTATACAGCTCGCCAACCACATCAAGCTTTGATTGATGAAGGTTAGCTCCACCAGCCTTTCACCCGACACCTTGCCGCTCGTGACATTCGGGCTTGTTGGCAAACATTCCACTCAATCAGTGCTACCGTGCTCCTACTCGATGGCATGCACAGGCTGTCCGCACTCGCGTCTGCAACATGAAAATGATGAGCCTATCACCAGTCCAACACGTATCAAAACCTTTGCCAGCCATGCAGCTTTGGTGGTTTTCTCGTTTTCCCTTCCTGCGAGATCCACGAAAAACGCCTCCGACGTCACGATTGTGTTGTCCGTTCCCCCACCTTCCATCAAGAGACTCAGATACAAACTCTAAGGCGACATGAGTTGTCAACACGTTCCCGGAGCCATCGATTGCTCAAACCGTCTGAGACACGTTTCTCCACCATCAGCTTGAAGATCGTGTGCGCACGCGAGCTCTTGGCATTCATCGCCGTTGCTGCAACCGTCTTCATGGTGTTACCATACCTTCCGTTGCAAGCCGCCCGGCGGATTGTGGAGAACATCATCATAGCTCGGGGCTTTGTGGGCTTAGGGGCTTTCTTTCCCAGGTCACGACCACTTGCCTCACCAAAAAGGGCTACAGTAGCTTAGGCAACAAATTCGTGCGCGGCTGGCGGCTCGATAAGCTGCACGCAATTCTCGAAGGACTCCACCGGCTCGTCTGCGACTCCCTTCACGTACCTTGCTGCTGCTTGCTAGAATGTATCCGTCAATCTGGATAGCAACACCTACGTTTGGCCGGTGTATCCTGCGCCCATCCGTTCACTGCCGTTTCACGTTCGTCGCAAATGCGGGTCGAATGCGAACTTACCCGAGTTGCAGCAGCAGGAAATGGGCCAGTTGCAGCTGCGTTGCACCCCTAACTTTGGATGAACATGCACCTCGGGATGTTGACGTGACTTTCCATCTTTACCTCCGTCTTTGCCTCGGTTGAGAGCAGACCGAAAAGCCTTTGAGAGATCTCACGAATAAGCAGGCTGCCACGCAAGCCGCGCTAAAAGTATGGGGAGAAGCAATTAGACTTTGGGCATTCTGAGCGAATGACCACTCATGGGGACGAGAAGGTCGCGAACTTTCTCATTGTAGACCTCTTCAAAAAATGCCCGAGCCGGCCGATGCGAGGCATCCTACCGAGGCATCCTACCATAGGATCCTCGCCATAGCCGTAACCGTGCCTCCAACATCTGAACTTTGCAGTGCACCTCAGAGCCTTGACTCTGCAGGTCGGCCATCCTTACAGGCTGCGGTGCCCTTGCCACTGGAAGAAGACACAGTTGAAAGGTCATAGAGGCAAGGATTCTTGAAACTGCACCAACAAAATGCGCAGGTGCGCTCTGCATGCAGGGCTCTCTGCAAAGAGGTCGTTCATCAGTCTGAGCAAGAGACCCTGCTCAGACACGGGCTCCACCTTAGCCCAAAACTCTCACAAGTGGAAAGATCTCGGAAAACTTCAAGGCGCACTTCCCAACCAAACCGCCCGGGAACCAGAAGCTCCCTCGGCGCCTCCCAACTCATATTGCCGAAGCGGCTTTCCCCATGATTGTCGTGGTCTTGCCAGTGCCGGTCTGCCCATAGCAGAACAGGCAGCTGAAGTATCCTCCCAGAACGTGGTCGACCATCCTGCCAGGGTAGGCTTAGGATAAGTTCAAGCAGGTCGGAAGTATGCCATTCGGCGTCATTAACCTGCCCACTCTCTGGCCACCTCTTTGCCATCATCTGATAGCATTTATCCTGGGACACATAGCTCCGCGCGTTCGGATCCGTGCTGTCCATGGCACAGTCGAAGGCAAACTCCAGCACCTTCCCGAGATAATATGGTCCAAGGTGGACCGCCAACTCAAGGGCGAGTCTGTCCCTCGTCTCTCTCGTGCCTTGGCTTTTTGGGATTGCTCTGCAACCATGGGGTCCACATGAACGGTGTTGTCCTCGATTGTGAGGCACCTGATAGGCAAACAAGAAACCGGAAGGCTGTTCTTCATAACTGTACTGCCCGATTGACTGGGCATCCCGAAAGCCACAGCCACGCACGCAGCCGCGTGCGTGCGTGAGCAACCAGACGACTCTAAAAGTAGCAGCCTTAACCGCCGTCATCCCGGAGCATGTGCTTCAAGGTCTGACTCAGGCCACTGCTGCTCTTGTCCGGATTCATAGGCGACGAAGGGACGAAGCCGAACCCCCACACAGACTGCCTCTCGGTCTGCCATGTCCCCGCAACGAGTCGGGGGGCATGGGCTGCCAGGGACAAGGGGGACTTCGCTGGAGTTGCACTCTGCGATTTGGAGTCAAGTCGACCCTAAGGTGGCTAAAGGCTTCGACGTGTTCAGGTGCTGTGCAAGTCGTATGTGTCGTGTTCTCACTATGCTATCTTCAAGCTGAAACGGCTGCTTGCACGCTTGAGTGGGGATGTCAACGCAAGATCTTCAAACTTTAAGGGGAATCACCGAACCGTGCTCCTTTCATGATTCGAAGAGCATGAACGGGTGGTACCTCTCCTACTTCCAGTTCAAACTCACAGACGTCAGCATTGATGCAGCTGCAGATGCGAGACAGCAGCTGCCGCAAGGAGGCGTCAGTCGGGAAAGGCTGCCGCTTATGCTCCTGCACTGCAGTGCTGGCCCGGCTCAGATCAGCCGAAGTTGCACTGTGAACGTGCTAGGACACGGCCCCACACAACAAGCCAAAAGAACTTCAGGGCCTCAATCGCCCATGCCTCGAAGGCCGTGTAGAGCAATGAATCCTAGAGGACAGGCCGGGGCCGGGAGGGCATGCTGTGACTACGCTGAGCCATTCGAAGTGCACGGGTTGCCATGCCCTGTGCCGGCTGGTCACTACACGGCTACGGGTGTAGCTGTAGCTGCCAAGCCACAGATATCCCGCCCAGGACTCGGCTGAAGGCCAAGATGGGCAGTGCAGCGCTATGCATGAGGAGGCAGGACAGCCCGGCGCAAGCCTAGGTCCAGCGGTGAGCACAAGGCACAAGCTGTGACGCATTTGCCATTCGCAACTGCCCAGCTCCAAACGCAGTAGAGCTGGCAACCACACCTCGTACCGATCCTTTGGTGGCAACACAGACAAAAATGCAAATCATGCACACATATCACGCGTGTTCCAGCTCTACCGCAGGGACTCTTGGACCGACGTGCAGATCAGGGCGCCGGTCGCAGAGCCGACCTGCCACAGATCCCAGTGCCGCTGACGATACGAAGCCGATGGCGAAGAGCTTGGCAATGACGATGCTGCCTTGTCCAACTTTTCGAAAGTTTGAAGAGGCTGGGCCTACGGGGCATGGAAGCACTGGGAAGAAATGCATCCTCCCCGCACTTTGCCCTTACCTCTTGCTGAAGCACGCAAGAGGCAAGGGAGGTGTGCATTCGCCTACAAGCTGGTAACCAATGAGAGCTTCCGGGAGCCTCTTCTGCCGAGCGGCTCAGGCCTCTCTCGGCATACAGTGCGTACAGGTAGGGTCCTGCTCAAGCATCTCCGCGACGGATGCAGTCGCAAGCCCACCTACGTCTTATGTTTCATCCTAGACTGGCTCCTTGAAGCCAATCCGCAGCCACGCAGCTGAACCAGGCTGGGAGGAAGCGAGCCTGCGGCCGGCTCGGAGCGAAAGCACATCTCGTGTCTTCGGTCTTCGGCTCGGCCTCAACCTGCTCAGCCTGGAAAGGCATCTGAGTCGGTGCGACTCGCTCTGGCCGAAAGTTCTGGCCGGCGGTCTGCCGGCAGGCGACGCGCCAAGCCTTGTAAAACATGCGCCCGAAAACGATGAGCCAGAGCACAAACAGAGAGACAGCCGAGCTTCCCTTTCTCTCCGTGGCGTGCCACAAGTGGGTGTGAACCTACCTGCTGTAGGGCAGGTGATGCCTGACCAGGACACCAAGTTAGACAAAGCAGTGGGGTCCAAACGTTTCCAGTTACGTCCTCATCCCATCAAAGCTAGCTAGCTGATCGCCTCACACAAAGAGGGATGCAGTCCAGGCCTTTTGCAGCAAGAGGTGCCATGAGAAGGACCTGGCCGAGCTTGCGCTGCAGCTTGGGCTTGGGCTTGGGGAGGGTTGGGAGACAGAGAGGATGCAGGGGCAAACGTTGATAACGCCTTGGCTCCGGCGGCGAACGGCATCCGCAACAAATCCCAAGCTCCGGGTCACCGACATGATTGCAACTTTGATCCACGAAGCTGATGCATTCATGATGCCCTACAAAATACACCTACTCTCAGTTGCAACAACGCAGAGAGCCCTGCCGCCATTACCTCAAGGTGTTCCGCAAGACGGCGGGCTGAAGAGAGCAGAGATAGTGGAGGGTCCTAGTCGCAGACAGACACACACACACACACATTTTTACAGTGACACGGGTGACGCTCTTTGCGCCAAGGGTATGTGCCGAAGAGTCACTTTCCCTTTGGACACAAATCCCCCTCACGGTGCGTGAAACTGACGGAAGTCACAGGCCATTGTTCCACTGGCCCGAATGATCCTCCCTACTCCTCTCATCACAGACATTCACATTGATGCCACAAAGAGACTGATGATCTGACTGATGCCCCAGAGACAGAGAAAGAGCAGATTCCGATAAATGGGGCTGAGGAAACCACTGGTGAAACTTCGATCGGTCGTCGTCACGCAGCGATCGCTTCGGCAGGGCCAGGCCCAAGAGCTGCAACCTGCAGAGGCCGGGTAAATAAATAAATAGATAAATAAATGCATATGTATGTGTATATATATATATATATGTGTGTGTGTGTGTATATAGATAAATAAATGAATAAAAGAATCTATATATATATATATATTATACACACACGCACGTATACGTGTATATATATATATATACGTACATACATACATACATACATACATACATACATACATACATACATACATACATACACATACTCCTTATTTTATGTATCTATTTAGCTATCTATGTATCTATCTGTCTATAGAGATAGAGAGAGAGAGGGGGGTGGAGAGATACAGAGAAAGGGAGGGAGAGAGAGAGAGATAGCGAGATAAGTAGATAGATAGATAAACAGACAGACAGACACATAGATAGACAGACAGACAGACAGAGAAGCAGATAGACAGGCAGATAGATACATAGATCGATAGATAGATAGATGGGGGCCTCAATTTTTTGAGTTTTCGGACTAAGCGCAGCAAAGCTTACAGTATGATCAGAATAACATATGTCTGAGAGACGAGCTTGCCCGCAGCATTTTGCCTGGTCCACAGGGAGGACGTCTATGAGCTCGTCAGATGCCAACTCCTTCCATGAAGAAGCTTGCGCAAGCGTCTCGGGTGAAACCTCTGACCTTCTGCAAGGGTTGCCCTGTCTCTTCCGCCACCAGGCGCTGCTGCTCTGCTGGGCTGAGCTTCCTCGGCTCCAGCGCTTTAAGGCACGCGGATGCTCAAGTCTGAAGTTGCGGCTAGTGTCTCTCGCCTCACGACCTTGTCCTTAGATCTGGTGCATGCGGGGCGCTGCAGCTGACATTTAGAATGACGCTCTTTCTCCTATTCACCTTTTGCCAAGCCACGTTGAGGTAGCCAACCCTTTCGACTTCTCCAGACTCCAGGAACATAACTCCGCGCACTCGCACGCCACCCTTCCATTCCTGCAGCATTACGGATGGCATTGAATGGCGTCCGCATGCATGTAACAGCACACACCTCATGCAGCGAAGTGCATCGGAGATTCGCCAGAGAATTTTTCTCCAGTCGTTTGATATGTACACTTCCTTTGACGAATTGCGAAGCTGCAGAAGCAAAGCAGGCACACCGAACGACAGCCGATGCACCCAGGATTTGCATCACTTGTGACGTCACAAGGGGAGGGTGGCAACTGCGAATGTGCTGTCAATTTCACATTTTCTGCGATCATACAATGCCAGCGTGTCACACTATGAGGTATTTGGGAATGAGTCCTGCTGGACCCCGGTAAGCTCTTGACCGTCAGGTTTTGGGCCCGCTTCAAGGAGAAAAAAAAAACGTGCTCAGCAGTCTGAGCACCACCACCGGCCGATCGCAAAACACAGCCACATCCCACCCCAACATCCCTCGTTCAAATGTCCGAACGCCGCCAGCACACGATGTCTTTCGATCGGAGCCAGGCGGCCCTTGACCAGACCTCAAACCTTCATGGAACTCTCCCACGTAATCGCTTTCTTCCTCGGCAGATGTCCGTGTTACCAAGACGCAAGTGGTCTGTGGACTTGCTGGGAATCCCGGCATCCGCATCATGAAGGCGACCCTTGCCCTCCGGAATGTCCGCCTCACAGCATAGGCCGAGCGTCAGAGGTCTCTGATGTCAGGTGAATCTCAGACTCTCAGAGCGCAGCTTTGAAGTCACCATCGTAGCAGCTGCCGTTGGGCAACCTGGCAGCCCTACGTCCGAATCGTCAGTTCAGCATGCACAGAGGCTTCTGCACGACCTGCCTGTATGAACCGAAACCATGGCGAGCATCATTTAGCCAACCGCCACTGTACTGTGCTCCATCGCCAAAGCTCATCTGCCCCTGTGCTTTGCAGCCGTGTGCGGAGGTGGCCGTGCGAGCTGCGACTTGTCGAAGCCTGGCCTGGCCATGCCGCATGTCGTCAACCCAGCTGCCGTTGTAAGCCTCGGTGCAAAGAGAGCCGCCTGGCAAATCCCGCGCTGCACTGAACGGAACCAAGGCCGTGACGGACCCATCTGGATACTTCATCAGACCCTGCAGAGCAGAGGTGAAGTTGGTGGAACTATGACTTCCTTTATCCGGTGCCCGAGCCTGGCCATGCCTTAAATCGGCAACCCAGCGGCCCTCGTACTCGGCTCCGTCGTCATACCTCGGTTTCTGCCATCCACCGGCTGCAGTATATTGCAGTGAGAGTTTGTGACCTTCTGGGCTCGTCCCAGCCGGGCAGCGAGAACTTGCCGTAGCCATCGCGCTTGCTCTTGAGCCATTGGCCGGTGTAGCACTCTCTGCCGGGATAGTAAAACCTCAGTTGCATGCAACGGCATGAGCACATGAGACATCCCCGCGCATGAACCGATCTTGCAGGCCAGGGTGCGTCCCAGCCCCTTGCATCATCCCTTCGTTGAACTCCCCCTCGTAGTAACCGCCATCGGCACAGTAGTAGGTCCCAGGCCTCAGGATGCAAGGCGATCAGCCAGTGTGACAGTTGAGTACTGAGTATGGGCGAGGCACTGGTCATGAATGGAAAGCTGAGCTAGGCACCCGTGTCGAGCTCCACGCTTAAACTGGCCTTCCTTGGATTCGGTCTCCGATCGAAACTGAGGGGGTGCCCGGCTTACATTGGGACACATCTGCAAGGCTCGAGTGCAGTGGAGGCACGTAGGAGTCACCGTTTGGGTACTCCTGAATCACGCGTGAACGCTGTAATGAGTCTTGCTTAAATCAAGCAGCCTCACCACTGGCATCAGATCTGGCCTCTCTGCTGAAGCCATTCAGCAAGGCCATGGCTGAAGCTTACTCTGCTGTGAGCCGAATCTGCGAGAGTCCAACTGCTTCATCTATCCACACTTGCTGCACAAGCAGTGCTGAGAGAAGCTGCAGGAAGAGATGCACAAGCGGTGCAAAAAAAAAGCAGCACTATGCATGTGCGACCTTGCTACAAGGCTGCTCAGTCCGGCATTCACAGCGCAGGAGCACTCGCGGTCAGAATTTCCACCGGATGTGTTGCTCCCACTGCTAGGCTCTCGCCGCGAAGAAAGCAGCAGTTCACGCCTCGTCTTGCCACATGAGAGAGATGTGGTTTCGATATGGCGACAAGACCGACAAGCATCGATTGTTGCCCTGTCCAGTGTGCATCAGTCAGTCAAGCTTTTGGACGGTTTCGCGACAGCATGGTGAAAGGTGAAACCTGATCTCCATGTTCGAGGGAGCTTGATGAACCTGCACAGGGGTTCTGGACCTCCTACTGGGCACGGAAGCAAGCCACAAATGTGCTTCCCTTTGTCGTGCCCGCAGGACAGCCGAGCTCCACCCCGTACTCCAGAATCTGAAAGCACACTACCACTGTACACAAGCATCACGCCAAGCTTGCCTCTGGCTTGCCACATGCTCTGCTGCGATTGTCTACACACTGTGCCACGGCAACAATCGATCCGATCCAGAGCAAACTCTTGAGGATAATTTCTCGCATGAGCCTGTGGCAGTCTTTTGCCGGACGTGTCCAGCAAATGGTATCACTTTCACAGTGGGCATCGCGTGGCCCATGAAGCACACAGTAGGGAATTAATGGCAACCCTACAGAGCTTTCGGTAGGTGAATCAATGATTTGCAGGTTTCTGGCAACATTTGACCCTTGCATTGCATGCAAAAGCATGCCCGGGTCACACTCCAGGTGGGCACAGGCCCGTAACGCTGTTGTTCAGGGTTTTCTGCAGCTCTAACAGGAGAACCTTCTGGTCTCTGCAGGTCGGGTTAAGTTTGTTCGAGGTCCTCCTGCATTGGCCACCAGAAGCTTTGCACTTTCCTGTAAACCCAGTTCCCAAGATACAATCTCCAGAACCCGGCAGTGGCGAAGTCATCCAGAATGCCTCAATTGCTCCTTGGCATTCCTGTCGCCAACAGCCACTCCAGTCCCAAGTCTCTGTGCTTGTTGTGGGTCTCCTTGGTCTCGGCCATGTGGAGGTGGCTCAGAACCTAAGTGCGATGCTCGACGCTGTGTACTAGCCTCACTTGCAGATTTTCCATGGGGCAGCCCCTGAGGTGCTTGTCCGTCATGCACTCTTGCGAGGGCAGCTTTCAATTTGGAAGTTGGGATGGCCATGTCTATTGGCACCGACAGCTTAAATGGGGCAACTGGACGGAATATAGGGTTTAAGTGTAGAAACGCCAGCCAGCCTAGCTGTTCAAACCAGGTCGACCCCTGCCATCTGCTACACTGCGCGCTGGAATTCAGGCTACGATAAACTGCCATACGTAAATGGCACATGTCTGCCTGCACGTCCATCTTGCGGGTGGCGCAATCAGCCTGGAGGTGGCAGGGAGAATACGTAGCACTGTGGAATAAGGCCGGTTGGGGCGGCTACCAAACTCCGGCTACATGGGTGAGGTGTCTGAGGACAAACTGCAGGCTGATACAGGTCCAGCATTACTATTACCGAGCTGAAGGGCATCACTGGAATCATGACTGCTCTTGGCATGCTAGGTAATGAATTGTTGCTAGAATGGGCAGGTGCCGCAGGGTGCAAGCAGATTCAAGCACTGGCAACCTACTTCAGGAGACGATCCAAGCCAGGCTTGATGTCACCTGGAACTGTGCTTGCTCCTCTGACTTGATGGCTCTGTTACCGGGATCGGTCACGTCTCTAACCATCCCCACACGACTGAGTACATGAGTCGATGCTTGCAGGCACAGTTCTTGTCTCTCAACCTCGGCCGAAGACTCGTTTGGAGTCCGACGTAGTTGCTGTACAACACAACGTCTCTCCTAGGAGACCGCGACTCTGCCAAAAAACTTGGACCTCCAGCCTCCAGCCTCCTCTCCCGAAAGCAGAACACGCCGGTTGCAGGGCACATTCCGCACTGTGGACTTTCGTCTCTGAAGACTTCAGGCACTCCCCGGGTTGACGCAGGTCCATCCGTTCCACAGCTCTCGGGCAATTTGTCGGCCACGTTTCTCGTCCGTGGATCTGGTTGGATATCTCACGACTTGCGCATCTTCGTAGCTGGGACTCGCCGGGCTCAAGCCTCTGCACTGTTTATGCGTTTTGGTGCTTCGTCCACGCTGCTTGGGCGCGAGACGGACGAGGCTCGAAACCGCCTGCTGAAGCTTGCGCTGTGATGTTAGGCCTGTTACTGTCGGTCTCGGGTTATCTGCGCGCACCGGCTCGCAGCTGTGTTCCACCGCGAAGTTGCTTAAGTTTAACTTTTAGCGGACCACGGAGAGCACACCTCGGGGTCCAGTCCAGTCCTCCCCCCCCGGAAAGCGGCCTGTGAAATCCGTTCCCGCGCCTGTGGCCGCTTGCCCAAGCAAAGCTTCCTCTGCGGCCAGCATGGCCTCCTCCCGGCTGGCAAAGCCAAATTTCCTACCTCAGACAATGCGAATGCACTCCATGACAAACGGTGGACGGATACTGCAAAGTTGAGGCCCCAGCACGTCTCAGAAACGAAACCCCAGGGCCTCTGGCGTGACCCTCTTTGTGCCCGAGTGATGGTGACCTGAAGTTCACTGCAGACATACACATGCTCAAATTTTGGACTCACGTTTTCGCCAGAGATGCAAGGAACCCGAAATTGACGAACACATCGTCGTGTCTTACGCAAAAACATACTGAGACATCAATTTTTCGGGTTCCATGCACATGCTTCGGATCCCAGGATTGTCATGTCCGCCCACTCTGGTCTCTGGGCTCCTCTGTCTTGTACCAAGTGGCCATGGCACCATCCACTGCCAACAACCTGGGGGCCTGAACAAACCCGATGACCGATGGGTGACGTTGAGCAGGTTGGCGTGTTTCCTGCATGCAAAGTCGAGAGACAAGCGAGAAGCGGCAAGCGCTATCAGATATCATGCAGTATCGAGGCATCCGTGTCAGTGCCGATGCGAGGCGCCAAACTGCATGGGCTCTCAGGAACAGGGTATCTCAAGTGCCCACTTGTGACCGTCGCATCCAATTGTGGCACTTGGAGGCGCGACGGCGTCCGAAGCCCAACTAACCGGGCGGCCTATGGCCTAGGACGTTGCGTTCGCTTGGCATCTCTTCGCAGCCAGGAGACCAAACCGTCACTCGTCAAATCGCGTGATGAATCTTCCGTGGCCCGAATCGGCCTCGGAGATGGACCAAAGCATCAGAAATCTCAGCCCCCAAATCAGTATGGCTCATGATTGTCTTCGGGAAGAGGATGAGTTCGTTCAAACTCCAAACTTTACCGGTGCGGCTGCACGAAGCAAAAACAAAAATGGCTATGTGCGGGGTGCGGATTTGCACCACATCGAGCAACGGCGAAGGGGATGGTGATGGCAACGATGGTCCCGGAGAGGGTGCAGGTGAAGGCGAAGGCGAAGGCGCCGGCGAGTCGGCAGCCGCCTGCAGAGAAGAGCGTGGCACGTGCACTCGCGCCTCTCTGGAGATACTGCGAGGCAGGATATTATCAAAGCACAGCGGGCCTGAGAATACCGCCACACGGATGCGAAGCGTGGTGCACAAGACACCCACTTGATACCTGGGAAGTAGGCAGCAAGCATCATCAGGCAGCTTGTACGACGTGTAGGATTCGTGACCAATTCTAAGCAGAAGGAAGACACCTCTAGAATAGAATCCTTTTGGTCCTATTCGGCATTCAGCAAACCGAACAAGATCCTGCCGAAGCCCCGACTGCCCAAACCCTGTCGAGCCATGTCAAGCCACGAGCTGGAGCCGATGTTCTGTCGTCCGGCGCCTGTGCTGCGCGCGAGCACTTAGAAAGGAGCAGAAGTGCAGAAGGAACGCGATCCAAGTCGCAGGTTTCTCCTCGTCCGGTGGGGGGCCGTCACCCGTGGAATCATCAGCTTGCTGTACCCCGCTGAGGGACGTCCTGCCGCAAAGGGCGCTGTCCCTTGGAACCAAAACCAGCGTCTCGTACGACATGACTACACTGGACACGCTTCCATGCAAGCATCGGGCAGAGAAAAATGCAACCTCAGATGCCAAGTGGCGCAAGCGAATTTGCCTCTGCCGTAGCAGACTCCGCGGGCTGCGGCGGCTGCGGGCCAGCTGCACTTCGCAGCCCAGCCCTGCCTGACTTTCCGCGACACTTTTAGGGCCCCCAAAAAGCACATAAGCAAAAATTAGGATCCGGATATCCCATATAAATCCCCTTATAATGAAGCCCAATAAGGTAGGGATATCCCTATAAAAAGCTTATGCTTATGTGCTTTCTGGGGCCCTAAACTTTTGCCCCATGCCCAATAAGGCACCAGTACTGCACCAGACTTACCGTTAAACATTCGGGACATCATGTGGAACTGGCCTGGGCCAGGGCCCAGAGGCGCTCGGCCGAAGGCCACGGAGGGAGCGGCCGCCTGGAGCGAGAGCGAGTTTTGATGAATGAAGCTCGCTGGGACCTCTCCGACCGACTCTGGCACGCACCAAATGTGCACGACTGCTTGCGCAACGCATCTCCGGATATCTCAAGCCTTCCCGGCGTGAGAGAGAACTTGCTGCGCTTGCGCCGATGCTGCCTGGTGATACCCCCTTGCCCCTCGACACGTGCGTCCTATGCCCGGGTTATGCAGTACCACACAAGCTGCACACAGGCTGCGCGCGAGCATAGAGACACGGACGCATCCAAGCCACATCAGCGTGCAACCAGCTCAAGACCTTGTCTTGACACACTTTCAATTCTGTGGAGCATTGCCAGCTCCGTCCAAGCCTAGTCTAATAGTCAACGGCGTCTGCAGGAATAAATTCTGTCCAGGCACGTTCTCCCAGCCAGGTGCACTGGCAGATTGAACGACCGGGCTTCCGTGG